CGGATGCTTACGTCATAACATCTATCTGCATGCCAAATTTCAACCCGATCGGTTTAAAACTGACAAAGTCTCATACAAACTTTCATCCCCTATTTTACCCCCATTGGGGGTGGAAATTATCAAAATCCTTTCATATCGGATGCTTACGTCATAACATCTATCTGCATGCCAAATTTCAACCTGATCGGTTTAAAACTGACAAAGGCTCATATAAACTTTCATCCCCTATTTGACCCACTTGGGGGTGGAAATTATCAAAATCCTTTCACAGCGGATGCTTACGTTATAACATCTATCTGCATGCCAAATTTCAAGCCGATCAGTTAAAAACTGACAAAGTTTCATACAAACTTTCATCCCCTTTTTTACCCCCTTGGGGGTGGAAATTATCAAAATCCTTTCTTAGCGAATGCCTACGTCATAACATCTATCTGTATGCCAAATTTTAGCCCAATCTGTCCAGCGGTTTGGGCTGTGCGTTGATAGATCACTATATCAGTCAGTCAATCAGTCAGTCAGTCAATCACCTTTGAATTTTATATATATAGATTATGAAACACGTCTAAAAGTAGTATAATGCGAGTGTTAAAACCTTTTACCAAAATCTAATAAACCATCTTTTTACAAATTCTAGCCTCCACCAATCCCCGGAATGCGTCCACCGCTGGGATCTCCTGGTGGTCCTGTACCCACACCCAAGTCTTCCATGGGCTTCGTGATGCCGATCTACACAATCTGCATAATCGTCTTCTTTGTCTACACTATAAGCAAGGTATGTTAATATGCAGTAGATTCATTACCAGGTAACTGTTTGACAAGGTGACTCGACTAATTTCAAGCTATGCTAGGACCTACAATTATGGGCTTGTTCGAGATCATAAAATGTCATAGGCAAAGGTCTAAAACTTTGTCTCTCGTAGTCAAATTATTCTATCGGTTAAATAAAATCCCATGAAAATTCATTGAATAGTTTTCGAGCTTATTGTGAATAGAGAGTATAAGGAAATGATGTTACTGACTGTTTCATTAGTTTCTGATTCGATTGCTTAGTTCATTAGGGCTTTGTACAATAGAAAACTTTTGGAAGGGAAATCCTCTGCTAACGTCGGTCACCGGTGACTCCCATAGAGTTTAATGCGTTAAACAGTGTTACCAGAATTTTCCTGTATCCAATAACTCTTAGCAGTAAGTATAGAGTGCGGTTTCCAATGGGTAGCAATAGCAATAGTCGTAACTCTTATTTACATGTGAGTCATATTAACATTACTGGGCTAAAAGTAGGTGTTAATGTGGGTGCTTTTAATATGAAAAGAATCACCAACCAAGCTCATTTAACGAATCTTATTATAGCAAAGCAAGATGCGTATTATTGCTTAAAACAAAGTTCCATGGAATTATTTGTTCTATAGCCCATATGCTAAACGTGGAGAACTGGAGATTATGGCAAATCAGTCTTTTGTACAGGAGACCAATAGTCCAGATTATTCTTTACACAATGCTGGCAGTGTTCAATCTCACGAAGTATTGATCGTGATTAAACTATAATTCTACAGATTCTGTTCAGGCGGACCGCAAGCTCATCGCCCTACGAGACCCTACCACCAGACCCTCAGTTCAGGAGGCGAGTGTTCAGGGATGATTCCAGGAGTACACCTGACAAACTAGGTAAGGTCCCAATGTAATTAACATTAGCCATTGTTATAATAATGTTAGAAACGATCAGTTATTGATGCCTTATAATTTTCATTTAACCACTAGGTTGTGAAGAGGCTGAATAAAAGTCCACTTAATTTTGAATAGGGATGTAGAAAGTCTGATTTTCAAACAATTTAATTATACTTTAAGGAAATAATGACATTATTTTTGAGTACAGATCTGTTAATGCTCTGATCATAATGTAAAGTTAAAGTTAACATTAAAAACCGCATTGGACAATACTATCAGATTTACTTGAATTTACTTTCAATAATTAGTATTTTAGGTCGTCTTCTTATGTTAAGCCTAAGTTTAATTGACTTGTGTATTCATTACCCGAACGTGCAATGTTCGTTTACAACTGTCTAGGATATTACTTATAGAGCATTTCTAATCAAAAACTCTTGCGCATGCAGGACCTAAAGAGCGGGACACAAGTAAGTAATATGTTGTTTTACGTACATTTTTATGTAAACAGGAAAATATCGATACTATCGGTGGCAGTTAATTAGTGAAATAATAATACTACGGTAATGATAAAAAAGGTCGCTACGATAACAGAACTCAAGCTTGTAGAACATGAATTAGTTGGACACCAAAAGTGAATTTACCAATTGGCTTAAATATGTACAGTTTATGATCATTGAACACGGAACACTTGCAAATGTTTATGAATTAGATGCAACGGATTGGCACGCAGCACTTAGAGAATTCATACCAAAATTTCGCTCATCCGTCAAGCAAATACGTGTTTTGAAAGAAATCACTTATGTGTTATGTAGTGTACCTACACATAAAGAGATGCTAATGGGTTGGCATCACCACGGGGCGTTACGTAGATAGATAGAAGTACAAACACAGCAAATATAAACGAATGGCGTATTTGAAATGATCCATCAATTAGGTCGTGCTTAACACTTAGTATAGTGGTTATTTGTTAATATCATGTGTTATGTGTAATCTATAAAAATGGTCCTTTTTGCCAAGAATTCTATAATGGCTATAAGCCACAAATCATCCCAACTTCATAAAATATGAAAAACTTATCTCTTTCATAAGTGTAAAGGGTTGAGCAAAAGGACCAGATTGTGACTCAAAAGGACCAACTTTCTCTAAATGCGCGTTTGACCAATACAAATGACCTGATGCTTAGGGGACGTGGAGTTGGAAGCGCTGAGGGCTCGCCTGGCTGAGACAGAGCGCGCGATGCAAAGGATCGTCAGCCAGCTGGCTCAGCGCGACGCGGTATTAAAGGCGGACTGGTGGACTGGCTTCAGGACCATTTTGAGCGTTGTTTGAGACAATTTTACCTTTATATTAACTATAAGAACCAATAATGAATACTTGTCTGTCAGTAGCTTTGGTTATTATTAGAGATAGGATCTAACACTTGAAAGACTTCACATAAATAGTGTGAAAATTCTATTTCTATCTAAACCTACCGACAGATGGTGCTAAATAAATGAATGAAACAACGAAATGTTTGGTTTTCCATAACCAAAATATCGTCCAAATAACCCAGTTTGTAGAAATATGGTCTTTGATAAGCCAGTTTATCAAATCCGTCGTGTTTCTTCGTTATAAACCGTATTATTTAGATGTGTACCTAGCAGCTTGCGGCATGGTGACGGTTGAGCCCTTTTATAGTTGTTCGGGTTGTAATTTTAACTTGCAAACACGACTGCGATGCATCCAAACGATTGTGGAATCTAATATCTTAGGTATAGAGTCTTAGAATTTAGTTTATAGAGTGGATTTTTGGTAGTAGATAATTTTTAATGTATCCCGTTTTAACATGGTAAACGTCTATGGGTCCCCATAACAGTAACGTGTGTTTTTATATTAAATGTTATATTGTAATGGTTCCATTTTGTAATCATTTGTGTCTGTCTACCTGTGTTTATTGTTAAAGATATAATGTGAATTGAATGACATTATGATTTTAAAAATGGCTGTTCCCAAAGAAGCTTTTACACTCTTTGATTATTTACCAATTTTGATTTACTTAAGCATAAAATAAAAAGGAATTGAAAAGGTGCGGTACATAATTTTATACATTTTTTTTAATTCAGTCGAATCTGATTAACTCTCGGTGCCACCTCAAATGAACTAAATGGGGGATTAAGGCCAAGAAGATAAAAAATAAGATATTTTTGCTCTTTACTGTCGAAGAAAGTTCGGTTGTCAAAAATTCACTTTATAAATCCGTTGGAACGGAGAAGTTTTACCTCCCGAGATAGTTAAGTGTGAGTTGGCCCACGTCCAGCAGTGGGGAGCATGCCCAATCGTCTGATGCATCCCGTTTATTTTCGTCAGCGTCCTTCGTTGTTTGTTTTTATGTCTATTTTTGTATTTACGTTCATAATATCAGATTTATGCTAAAATTATTTGATATACCCATTCATGAATTTCAAGACGATAATTTAATTCGAAGTTATAAACCGTATTTGATACGGCTTGCTTTTGTGAGATTTTGATGAGATTTTTGCTTTACGTAAATATTTTTACACTTCTCTATGTCTCGCCGTAGGGAATATAAACCAAGCCATATAAACAATATACCAAATATAAAATTACCTACATTTAAAGAAACTCTATAAAGGCTAGACTGTACTATACGAATACAAGTCTATCCAAATAAATTCTGAATACTAAACTAATATGAATGTTGTCGGGCACAGTTGTTACCGCCATATCAGGGCTGGTAGCCGAGGTTCAGGAGCAGATGGAGGCGAGCTACGCGCAGAATCAGCAACGACAGGTCAATGCATGCAGCCCTGCTGCCTAACAATGTCATTTGTACGATAGAACAGGTTAAAAGTCAGTGGTGAATGTGGAACTGAGGTGATTGAAAGTCTAACTTATCTCCCTAAAAATAATGGGGTTGATGATTAAATTATAAAATAACTACGGCTACGAAGAATGGTCTTATCAATATTACATATTTGCTCGAAATGAAATTTTCAAATGACGTCACACCCTTACATGAACTGTGACGTAGCAAACGCCCCACTCCTTGAATTTAAAGCACTTTGTATTTATAATTCTCGCCAAATATGTTTTGTTATCTATGTGATGGTAATGGTTGGTTAATGGTGAGTTTTTCTATACTCTCATCATCGAATTGAAAAGTTAGTCGACTTTGGTAATAAATAACTATCAACGACAGTCCACATTCATACTTCATAGACTTTTAAAACCTGTTGCTATTGTAACAAATGTCCTTGTTCTGGCTTTCTCGTCCTATAGTCCTAGATTCCAAGTAGGTTAGACAAGGTACACTTGTCTAGTCTAGCTACTTTTTATTTTTAACCTTGCAACCCTATTTTCCAATGTCCTGTCATGCTATCTGTCGATTTTTATGTTGGTTTTTTCTTGTTTACCTTTGTTTTTTATTTCATCATGCCATAAAAATGATATCCAAAGTATTTGTCATAGTTTAGACTAGTCGATGCAACTTTTGCTTAAAAAAAATAATCCAGTTTAGGTAATCTGCTTCGGAGCTACACATTTAACTAACAAGTAGGCGTATTTTTGCGGTAAATAAGGTTTCTAACAAGTTTTTAACAACAATTAAAAATTAAACAAAATATTTTGAAAATTACAATCCGGTTTATTTGAGCAAGGGACGAATGCACAAAAAATATGTCTTAAGGTAAACTTGGCAATATAAATTGCATAAGCTTGGAATGTAGGGCGCCCCGTCTTCATTGAAATAATATTTCATGGCAATAACATCTGATTTACTATCGCTTTTCTGCAGTTTATAATCAGCTTACAAACTTTGTAACACTTAATTATCTTTTTCGCCAATTGTAACTTGATGCTCTATATTGTGGAAAGACTGCTTCAGTGGAATTTGTTGCTTTAAAAACTTAATCTGGTGTTTTCTTAAGAATAGTTTGTTACCTTATTTGCATTTTTTAAATAAGTCAATTTTTTCTGTTGTAATGAAGAGCAAATATGATTAGAAAAAATATAAACTCAAATTTTGAAAAAAATGAAACTTACAATAGCAGCTGATCCTCCTTTGTGGTCTTTAGGTACGAAATCCTAAATTAATAAATTATGATAAGTTGTGCTTTGTTGAGCTGAATTTTTTAAAAAGATTAAGAAAAAGAATCACTAATGAACTATAATAATTATGTACTGTGGACAAAAACCAGTAATAATAATAAGTATCGAAATACGTTGAGATTGTAATCTTATAAACACATTATTTATTAATTTCTTACCCGCACATTATTTCTAAAATATTATTAACGCGTTATTTATATCTGTGTTTGTTATAACGAGATCTTAGTTATGGCTCTGGCCAGTATTGCCAGCTCGTGCCAAAGTGTTGCCATTTATACAAACTTGGCACATTCACACACATAGGATATTTAAACTGTAATCATTAAGAGCAATTTTCTTGAAAATTACATATTTAGATTTACTAGTACTAGGTTGTCTGTTTATACTACTAAGAATCAATATGGTGTAATTAAGAGAGACATCTTTCGCTCTTATGGAAATCGCTTACCACCTTTTAATCAAAAGCTTTAGTCTGTAAATAATTAAGCTCAATCTGTTATCTCACTATTTAAAAATAGGCTACATTTTTCATTATTATTTTAACACACACTATTATTTCTTGAAAACATTAATTAGTAACATCACTTTCTTTATCAACACAACCACAAGGTTAATGTAGTTATACCTCTTTACCCCCTTTTGGGGACGTTTTTCCATTCACTCATTCATTCTTTCTTTCTATCCCTTTCCCATCTTTTTTCTTCATTGGCCTATAAGCATGTTTAAAGAGTTGTATGTGTTGTCTATGTCTGTTATCGCCTTTGTCTGCCTGCACCAGTTGTCCGATGACTAACAGAATAATAAAATCAATAAAACATCACATAATAATTTTCAATAATAATAATTATATTTTTAACTAATTGTAGATTCTGTGTTAGGTCGTGTAAAGTACACATGTAGGAATATTAGTATGTTTTAGGAAGTAAAATATGCACTTTCCAAAGGGATTTTTCTTTTGTGTTTTTGCTTTTTAGATAGTTTTAAATATGCCGGTGAAATCGATGATGCGTTTATGCAAGGAAGATTAGAAATGTTATTGAAAAATATTATAGATAGATTAGAACACATACTAATATGTTCTAAATGTCTAACTATACATCGAATTTCATTGGTATAAGACTGTAGACTACATAATATACGTATTCGTTTTCTAACTATACGATTGGCCAACCCAGTCGATAAAAGTTAAATGATAAGAGAACCAAACGTAAAATTCTAACATTTCGAATTCTGCCTAACTTTGTTCTTAAAAAACTTTTTGCAGCAGAACAAATCCTGTAGTCTACGGTCACGTATATTGATGTTCTTAGACAGTGCGCCTGAAATAGACGTGCAAATCAATCTTGTACATGAATAAATAAATATAGATTTTTTTTATAAACTGATTTTATTTTCTCTTTGCGTGTTGTAGTTCTGTGTTCTTGCTAAAAACGCTAGAAAGAGCACAGCTTGTTTTTTTATTATTGTTTTTTTCCCAGCTTCTGTCTATACGCAAGGCTTACCCCTAGATATAGACGCGCATGATTTACTGTAGAGAGTTTATTAGTGTTTTAATTGAATGAACGAAGATAGAAGAAACTTATAATGTATTCAAATATTACAGGATGCACAGGATAACAACGCTCGCCCATACACGAATGGGACAATTCTACATAACAGTGGCCCTGTACACATAGTCGCTAGCGAGTACAAGGAGCCTAATAAAGAGAGCTTGGAAAAGAAAGAACCATCTCCTGCACCAGAGGAACCTAAACCAGTACCTGAACAAACCCAAGAAGATAAAGAGCCCTCCTCCGAACCAGAAACCCAAAAACCTGTAGAAAAGGAACAAGAAGTCGAAAAAGAACAAGAACCGAAAGATCAAGAACCGGCTAAAGAAGAATCTGTACCTCAAAAAGAACAAACACCAGAAAAAGACACTCAAGTAAAAGAACTAACTCCTGAACCAAAAGAATCTACACCAGAAGTCGAAGACCAAAAAGAAGAAGAAGTAAAGGAAGAAACCCCAGAAAAAGTAATAGAACAAACAAATGACACTGATAAATTGATAAAACTGGTTGATGATGTAAAAGTGGAGAGGAATGGAGATGTAAGACACACGGAAGAGTTTATTAAAGAGGAAGCAAAGTCTTCTGAGGCGCAGAAGGAGAAGCAGTCGACACCTGAACTTCTAGAAGAAGCTATCAAAGATGATGATGATGAACAGGAGAATGCTAGCGTTAAGGTGAGTTTTGTGACTTCATATTTTGTTGATAGGTCCTAATTTTTCTGTGGTTTTTGAGGAATTGAGTATAAGATATTTTTTTCTCTAATAAATTTGACATGATACAACCAAGATACCAAAGTCATCTTCAGATAGTAAAATCGGTGAAAATAATAATACCTAAAAAAACAGCAAAATTATTTCATTAAAAATGCATCATAATTAATACTTTAATTAAAAAGAACATACTCCACCTAGGTTGGTAGTAAAATGTTTATGCGATTATTATGGATGTTGGCAGTATAGCGCACAAGGGAAGCATGGACAAATGCTTTTGTGTTTAATACATTCTGAGCTCAATATTAAGCACTTATGTTAACACAAACATCACATTTGTAGCCCACACTTTCAATAATTTTGAGATACGTGGATTTTGATACAACCCACAATTTAAGGACAAACTTAAAAATACCAAAGCAACAGATTCAAATATACAAGCACTTTTATAAATGCGGCGAGTTATCAACCTTATTACCAAGCAGTATAAGGTTTCTTTTGCTTCAATCTAAAATCCACAGATCTCCCACACTTAACACACACATTAGAGCACGCATATCATGTCCCCTCGTCCCTTAGGTGGTAGGCATGGAGGTGCGGGCGCACCCGGCGGATGGTGGAGCGTGGAGGGCGAAGCGCCCCACGGAGACTCCGCCTCCGATCCCAGTCGTCGCCCCCGTCCCGCAGCGAGCGGTGAGGCCGCATGTTACCGTTCATATTGTTCAAACCATTTATGATTCTGACTAGTGGTGGAGTTCTTGGAACAGTTAAATTGACCTTGTAGCTTTCTGCTTTATATGTTTTTGATGGTATATGGAAAAAGGGACATTAGGTTTGCGCCTATACGCTAATACGGTATTCGATCGAACATATAACGATAGTTTTCTATGAGAGTATTTGTACGAGATTGTGAATTGTGACATCACGTTTTTTTAACGCCAAACAGCATACTTATTTCTTGAAAATTTGCTGGAAAAATACTAAAATTATGTTGGTCATAAATCAATTAACGAAAGTGTAATTTTTTTTCAATATTTCATTGTGTTGAACAGTGGAAATAATTTATTTTTGATTAAGGAATGTACCCAATTGCGTTTTTTTTATAGTTTCAATCTGTATAGATGAATTTCAGTCTAAAGTTGAAGAGTATTAAATGTATCCTACCTATTTGGGTTGTCTAAAAGAGCACTTTGTTCTTTTTTCATCACTTACTGGTGCAAGCCTTAAGATTATCGTCTGTTAAACTAACTCATAAATCCCCTTATTATTTTTGTTATGACCATGTAGTCAGTTTAGACATATGAAGAAACTCCACCACTATCCCCTCACTACTTATATTTATTGCATATTTAGTTTATTTATTACATGTTGTAATGAATCTAATATTTTATATTATATTATGTAGGTATCTTGTTGTTCGTCCCGTAGTTAGTGTATGGTAGATAGTCTGTTGCATCACATTCCAGCTTAGCGTTATTGTGTAGCTCAATTATTGTTTGCTCAAAATATTTAATTATATCTTATCCTTGTGGGTGTCAGTTTTTTCTAGAAGATTTTTCGCTATACGTACTGTGATAAATATCTTATGTTTAAACCAACTTTTAATTTAGTTGGAAGGTGGTATTAGTCCACGTAAAATATATAGTAATTGGTTTTAAACTGTCAAACACCAAGCGGTCACCGGTGACCCAGTGCCGGATTAGCCACGTAGCAAGAGTAGCAAATGCTACGGGCCCCGCGGATTGGGGGGCCCCGCGCTCAAATAGGTATTTCGTAATAACACCACTTCAACAGCAAGACTTATAAAGAAAATGTTTTGTTTACAAAACTACTACCAACCTACATGTAATTTAATTTTTTTTCTTAACGAAATTAACGAAAAAAGACAAATAGTCGGTATTTTGTATGTGTAAGAAAAGGAAAGTGACTATTTGTTCGCTTGGTTGGTGCCATTGGCGGGCGAACCGAGCCCGATTTGAACGAATCAAAAATGAATTAATTAAGGAACACTATGGGCCAAGGACGTCTTAATCATTTCACAATGTTGAATATAGAGCATGACTTGCTTAAAGAAGTCGATATTGAAAGTGTAATCGCTAAATTTGCCCATAACAAATCCAGAAAAGTTTATTTGTAACAGTTTTGTTTTATGTAATAATACCCTAAATGACAATGACCAAATTTGTATGGAGCGTGGTGCCTTTTTATTTTTCGCGGCAGTTTATTGGATGTGTAAAAACTGATGCAGAATAACATTACAAACAAAAAAATATATGGGGTCTTATATCAAAAACACAGTCCAAACCGAGTTAAATCAGTTCAAAGATGTGAAAATAGTGCTATATTATTCCTGTTATTTTGTTGATGGTGACCGTACACAACGCATATTTCTTCATTTACTTGTCAGAAATATTTTGTAATAAATGTTTATAAACGATTTCAAGGAATATAGTAAAGCTTATAGTGGACTTCTTTTTAGGGTTCCGTACCTCAAATGGAAAAAACGGAACCCTTATAGGATCACTTTGTTGTCCGTCTGTCCGTCCGTCCGTCCGTCTGTCAAGACTCTTTTTCTCAGGAACGCGTGGAGGTATGAAGCTTATATCAATTTATATCAATTACTCAGGTCTACTGTCCCTTGAAGCTGTGAAAAAATCAAACTTCTAAGCCAACGCAATCAAAAGATACAGCCGTTTATGCCGCAAATTTTCGACACTTGCAAGGGAATCAAAACCTACAGGGTGCTTCCCGTGAACTCAGAATCTTGAAATTTGGTACGAAGCAACGTCTTATAGCATAGATAAAGGAAAAATTACGAAAACCATAAATTTTTAGTTACATCACATAATATATATTTTTTTAATAATTTTAAACTTACTACCCATTTCCTCATAAACGCGTAGAGGTATTAAATTGAAATTCATACCAAATACTCAGGTCTATAATACCTTTAAGCTGTAACAAAATCAAACTTCTATGTCAACGCAATCTAAAGAAACAGCAATTTAAGCTGCATATTTTGAAACTCGCAAGTACTCGCAAGGGAATCAAAACAGAGTCTTTAACTGGCCACTGCTCAAGAAAAAAAAAACATTTCGATTGCTTGGCTAGCGTGTTCACTTTATACCTATGTATACGGTTTATGGCCTATGACAGATTTTCATGTAAGTTTCAATACCCTCTCAGTCGAAAACCCGCAAAATACTTTACTGAGCCCTATCACGAAATGCTATGTTTGTCAGCTGCGGCGTCGGTAGCGCATTGAGTAGTGGCAATCGTCGAAACACGAAAAAATTTTTTTTCTGTCTACTTCTCCCGACCTACTCCCGATTAGTCACTAATTTAACTACAGTTAATACTCTAATCTAGAGCTAGCATAAGATTCTGTACAAAGATATCGTCATTCAGTCACAAAGTGATGGACTATATTTCGACTGATCACATTATATGAAAAAAAAAATATACGCTCATCTGACGTATATCACTTTACAAAGTCGACGGTTTCCTTTCTACAAAAGATTATGCGAACTATAAAGTAGATGAGTCTCCCACCAGGAGTCAATGGCAAAACAAAATACACTTTATTAGATGTTCGCACGGCTACCACCGCTCAACCCACCACTGGTAACATAGCTGACGCTCATGAAGCTTCATGACACAACTCCTAGAAGCATCCCACAAGTTATCGACTGAGAGAAAATAGGTAATAAAAATTAGTGCCTGGCAATATGAATATATTGTGGTGTGATATGGTATTCCTGCGCCCGACGTACAGTTGCACGCAATTTAAAGTTGGGAATTGTGACAAAAATATGAATAACTAGCTACTTCCGCGCGGTTTCACACGCTCTGCTCGGCTCCTATTGGTCGTAGCGTGATGTTTTATAGCGTATAGCCATCCTCGATAAATGCACTATCCAACACAAAAAGAATTATTCAAATCAGACTTGTAGTTACGGAGATTAGATTAGTTATTCAAACAAACAAACTCTTCCGCTTTATATAATAGTATATAAGATAATGGTATAAGATATAAGATTTGAATAAAAAAAACCAAAGTAAAATGTTTGACTTCAGCTCCTTTCAACGTTCATAACTCAGTCCAGACTGAGATTTCCATACATGAGCCCTATGGGCTCACTTTCATATATGTATATGGGGACAATTTCGTTTGTGATATCATTCCAGACAATATCTTCCATAAATCATCGACTGACGCCAGAAAAAAGAAAGGCACCAAATTTAGTCAATGCCCAAATGAGAACCGATAGCAAACCAAGGGCCCCTAGACAGAATTTGCTACAGGCCCCGCGCTGGCTTAATCCGGCACTGCGGTGACCGCAACCTATTGTTCTATAATTGCGTCTATATTGACGGTACTCGAAGAGTTAATTAGTTTTGTAGATAGTTGAATAACAAAACCGATGCCCATAAATTGTTTAGATAGAATAAAACTGCTTGCATTTGCTTTTTATATTTTGTTACTTTTTTCTATTTTTTAAATAAACCTTTTACTTTATACGTAAAGCAGTTTTATTTTAACGTTCGTTTTACTAATATTTTGCTTTTAAATTGGTAAGTTGTTTCTACCTTATAAAATACAAGACTATCATCTATTTCTTACCAAATATTGTATAGGAAAAATTCTTATAATTTCGATGTATTTGAATTATTTTTATGATATTTCTATGCCTTTACATAACACATTGCTATATTTTTTTAAATCTTTACACTACTTAGTACCTACACTTTAAATAAAACTAAAAAACCAGTTTTAACATTAGAAGACACATTGAGTCTCGCGTATATCTACGCTCCCGGCATACCATGGGTTAAACTAGCAATTTTGACATTTTGAACTTTATAATTTTTTAACTAAAGTCGAAAATGTACTACCTATTTTCACACATACACCACCTTACAAAACTCGCATAGCAGCTTGACGTCTGTTTGCAGCACGAGGCTGATCAGGTGCAGTCGATATACTTGGAGACGGAGATCCCGCAGCAGTCGCGCGTACTCGTCACCGACTTCGCGGAGAAGAGGACTGACAGGCCTGCTCCTACTAAACATTCACCGGTAAATCTTTACTTCACTACATAGTATAAAACAAAGTCGTTATCCGTTGTCTGTCTGTCCCTATGTATGCTCTGATCTTTAAAACTGCGCAACAGATTTTGATGCGGTTTTTTTTAATAGATAGAGTGATTCTTAAGGAAGGTTTATGTGTATAAGATGCATATGGCACCCGTGCGAAGCCAGGGCGGGTCGCTAGTATTATATAAAGCTGAACAGTTAGTTTGTTTGAACGCGCTAATCTTAGAAACTACGGGTCCGATTTGAACAATTGTTTTTGTGTTGAATAGCCCATTTAAAAGGCTACAGGCCATAAAACATCACGTTATGTACTATAGATCAGTGCTTACTCATGAAACCAATCTCAATGTCAATGCAATTGCAATCCAATGAAAACTCAATAATTATTCAATGTCAAAACTATACAATACAACCCCTATTGTAGCTGTTAAACAGCATTCTGAGTACGGAATATAAAGCTAAACTCAATACCATTTAGTTCATTAAATACCCACGCAATACGGCTGTAATGGGCGCTAGTGTTGCAACTCAAGAGTACGAAATTACACAATATCAATGTCGATCGATCGGAATTTGATTTAAGAGTAAGACCACTGAGCGGGTGAAACAGCGAAGATGTAGCTAGTATTAAATACTTCACAATAACATACGACAGTCCTCTCCTGACGACTATTTTACGTAATTACGTTCACGTGATCGACAAGTTTATGACGTCCCGATTGGCTTGCTCCAATTAGCCAGCCAATCAGAGGGCTAAACACGATAACGTTGCGATCGCGATAACTTCAAAATAATCTCGCTAGACCCACCTTTATTTGTCGCGGAGAACCTAACGGGTAACCGGGGCTCCGGCTCGACGTGCAGGAGCAGTCATTCGATGATTTTCCCCCCTTAAAAAAAAAGACCTACCTTTATTCAAGAGGGGTTTGGTATACCTACTTTTCACGATTCGCAGACGGGTTGGCGATGCAGTTTAAAATGTATATATAGGTTTGAGAGAGCGCTACTGCACGATCTATGTTAAATGTGCTGAGGTGATGTTTCTAATTCAGCTCTTATGACAACCATTATATGATTCGTTTTAGTGTGTTTCATAAAAGTTCTACATATAATACGGGACTATTATAATCCACAGATGGTGGTGAGTGGTAAGATGACGCTATCCCTGATACAAGACGCGCCGCGGGACACGCCTGAGAGGGACCAAGGTACAATTACGATACAACTACATACTGACAACACGGTTAGTGCGGTGGCTGGGCAATCGGCTACCACGCAATGTGTCGCGGGTTCTATTCCCGCACGGAGCAACTCTTTGTGTGATCCACAAATTGTTGTTTCGGGTCTGGGTGTCATTGTGTATGTGAACTTGTATGTTTGTAAACGCACCCACGAAACAGGAGAAAATCCTAGGCCAATGTTATGAAAAAAAAAAAACAATATGGTGGACATTCCATCCATTCGCTCGAAGCGTTTCGCGCAAAGCTTCCTTGTGCGAACAGCTAAGGAATAGGATTCCTTGCCAGAATCTGTGTTTCCCGACAAATATAACTTGGGTGCCTTCAAGTTTCGAGTGAACAGGTTGCTCAAAGGTAGGCGTGCTCCATCGTCGGCCACATCATCGCTTACCATCAGGCGAGATGGTGGTCAAACGTTGACCTATCAAGTATATAAAAAAACTTGAATATTTATATATTCCTAACATCTCTAATAACAGTTCTGGTGTAGTTAAGAGTATTAAAAAAAATGTTTCTATAATAACTATCGTGAGACATACTAAATTAACTAAAATCACGGGTTACTCACCTGAATATATTATTAAAAAAAATACCAAATTTAATTTCAGAGTCGACAGTTGACGACTTCACAACGGCTAGTGCAGTCACGCAGAACGCTGAGGTAATGTAGCAGTTTTATAATTTACACTTTTTACTTTTGTGCGTTCTTACGGTTCACTTTTGCCTTTATTTTTAAAGTGATCGTAACGAGTACGCGTTCGGCCGGCACCAATGAACCAACCAATCAGAGCGCCGAACGCGTACTCGTTACGATCACTTTAAACGCAAAACAAACTCGTACTAAGGCTTCATAGTTGATATTATTAATTCATTATTTACCTAGAATTAACTAGAAAATCTCAGTAGCAGCACGGCGTCTGGAATTGTGCCCGGTATATGGATATAACCTCATCCCCTATTACATGGGAGTCATAACATAAATAGTGAAAAGTCGGTGTTACACTGTACAGTGGCATAAAGTGCCGTAATGTACACCTCTGTCTACCCCTTCGCGGATAAAAGGCGTGATGTTATGTTATGTATTACCTAGAAATCGAAGAATTAAAAAACACCAATCGTAACTTATCTTTTTTACAAAATTACAGAAAGAAGACGAATCAGAAGAAGAGATCGAGGAAGAGATTGAAATAGAAGAGATAGAGGAAGAAGTTGAAGAGGAAGAGGAGGAAGAGGAAGAGCAAGCAAAAGCGGGAGAAGTAGACCACAAGGACAAGAAGACAGAGTGAAGTACTGATAGATATACATTGATTTAATATAACTACTCGTACTTAAAGTTATGTTTTGTGATCTTGTATAAACCATTTTTAACCTTATGCTAGTGGAATTAAGGTTCATTAGTGATTATATGTACAAGGAAAAGAGCTTGTAAGTTGATATTCTGGGTTTAAAAAGGTAACTAAAGCAATGGAATTGCATTAAATGTGTCTGATATAGGTCACAAAATATAACGTGTTAAAAAAAGTATAACTATTTTGTTTATGGTATGCAATTAATTATCTGTGTACTTATTGTCTATGCTTCTCTTCCTAGTCTGTTGTTGAGGATGTACATTTTGTTCTGTTGATCTGTTACCGCATTGTTTTATGCTTTCTACGTTTTATTACTGTTATTCTGTATAATAGTTTTTAACAGTGTGATTAGAATTACCTACTGAGGATTGGATTCGAGTTTATTCTAGAATCCTATAGTCTATAAACTATTGTCTATAGTTTAGAATGTATATCTATTATGATTTTTCAGTAAGTTGTAATAGTACTTATATTAAATCTGATTTGTCATTGCATAGTTAACGACAGTAATGTAATTTACATCATTTTCCCATAATTTTGTTATCAGTAGAAAGCAGAACCCTCTACTAGGGTTTACACTATAGAAAATGAATGGTGTTACCAGCTTAAAAAAACCTCAAATATCAAGCAACTATTTTAGAGGAGTCTAATCACGCTAATGTTATCATCGTTTATTATTATAAATAATACGAATTTATAAATTAATATAATTGAGTGTTCAATGATTTGTGCCAAATATTCCTTCAGGCTTCTTCCAATTTACTTGACGTCTTAATACGTTCGTTATATCCTTCCAAGTCTGTAAATTAGCCAAATTTTAATTCAAATCTTTAGATAAAATATAAATACGTATAAATTATACAACCATGCAAAAAAACTGCAGCAAGTCGTATCTAAATTCTAGCCAAATTTCTTTATTAGAAGTATTGATTGTAGACAAAATGATGACATTAATTTTTAAGTTTTTATTTTTCAAAATTAATTGATGTCCTATTGGCTCAATGATTGTTTAGTGTGATAATGAAATTTTAATATCGAAGCTCAATCTACTGTGCAGTTTTTTTGCCAGTTAGTGTACTAGTGAAGCCCCAATTAATCTCTATGTCTCCTAGTATTGGGTGATTAGTATAATAAAATATGTATTATAATAAAAAAAATTGCACCAGTGTGAACATTATGCTAGATATAATTATGCATTTAAGATACATTGTGACAGTTGTTTTATTTTTTATAATTTTTTTTTTTTGTTTATTTGAAATGAGAATAGAATTTGTGGATATAGTATTTTTACGTGATAGTACAGGCATTGAAATTAACAATTTAAATACTTGAACGAAGGAGGTTTAATATATTTCACATAGGTGGCAAGTTAAAATGCACTTTATCAAGGATGTTGAAAAAAAGATGGACATAGCATTACTTAGAAATGATTGAAGCACTAAAATTTGAAATGGTGTTTGCATGTATAATAGGTTACTATGTTACCAGACTTAGTCCTGTCCTTCATGTAAATGCGTTTATGTTCTGCGTGTAACTCTATAGTAGCCAGGCGCCACAGTTATTGATTCAAGAAACTGTGTCTGCATTTTTTATGTGTAATATGTTAGGCCGACGTTACTCATTTCAGTATTACAATCAGTACTATGTTTTAACATTTAATGTAGCATTTTGTTATGTTATTGCTTAATCTGTTTTTTAGTTCGTAAGCAAGGATGTAGCTGGGAGGGTAAATCATCTAATAAGTAGTTATTGAATCCGCTACTGACTTGTATTGAAGCCAACATACATGGTGATAAGAAAGGAGTATAATGTATTACCGTCTAATCAATAAAATGAGAGTCAACGAAATATTAAAACTTCCCCTTTTGGTTACACCCCTGGTTGTAAGATAATAAAAATAACTCAAAAATAATGTGTTGGTTTTATTTTGTCTCATTTTCCTTCTTTCCCTCAAAAATTACCTACTTCCTTTTACTAGCTGCTTTACCAGTGCCCCGAAATGAGTTTATTGTCATGTACAAAAAATAAAGGTATTAAAAGTATATCTATAAAATTTTAAAAAGTAAAATAAAATGAGTACCTATTTGTACTGGCTGGTGCTGAAAATCACCGCCGCGACTCGAGTTATAGCTCTCGGGTCACGGCATTTAGCTGAGCACGTAAGCCTATTTGCGCCGTGCACACTTTTACCATTTATTGTTGTAACTATTCTTCTTGTTTTAATTTTTTAGTGCAAATAAACAATTTTTTTTTTTCGTTTTTTACTAATGATGTAAGCAACGAATACCAATAACAGATCAAACCTATATAAATAATAATTTATTGTGTTTGATAGATGCAAAGGTAGATAAAAGTACTACAGATATACATACATAACTTCACGCCTGTCTCCAATAGAGGTAGGCAGAGACTATGGAACGCCAACTGCTACGATTCCTACATACCTCTTTCGTTTATCAACAATCATCAATATCTTCATGCATGCGGTTAAGGGTACTTATAATTTGGCCCTCCTTTTTTTTATATCGTCAATCTGGTCATGGTGTAATAAAAAAGGAGGAGTTACCGAAATATTTAAAATTTCTGCCGAAATAACTATTGAATACAGGCAAGCGAGTTTTATCTTATACTACTATATATAGGAAGAACTGGTCCAATTTAAATGATTCTTTTTCATGATAGATAGGTAGTGAATTTATTGAGGAAGGCTTTAGGCCATAAAACATCACGCGACTATTAATAGGCTCCGAGCAGAGCGGGTGAAACCGTATGAGAGTACTTAGTTATTTAAGTAATTCAGTACTTACTTAAAATCAAGAAGTAAAAAGAAGAGTATATTCACCAGTTTTATTGTTGTTCTTAAATAATTAAATAACAAATATATTGATTGTATTTACATTCTACTATCTTGAAGCTGACTTGAGATGGTTGGATCTTTAGTTGGAACCTGAAATTAAATAATAGTAAACTTGGGTTATTTTAAGATTTTTTTTTTAAATGCTTAACAATTGGATTTTCTTTCCCATTCTTCCCCATTTGATACTACATTTTGGAATGAGCACCTAGCTTTACTGATGGACAGACTGACATTATTTATTTTGTATTTGTAGACATTTTTAAAAGTACCAAATTATGGTTTAATTGAAATAAATTGTCGCAAGTACGACTGCCAGGGAATCGAACCCGAGACCCCTTGCCGCCAGGCAAAGTATTACTGGGTTATTAAAACAAAATCTCAGTGGTAGCACGGAGCCTGGAATTGTACCTGGTATATGGCAATAGGCTCACCCCCTATTACATGGCACTCAAAACATAAATAGTAAAAAGTGGGTGTTACATTGCAGTGGCACTAAGTGCCGCAATGTGCACCTCTGCCTACCCCTTTGGGAATAAAAAGGTGTGATGTTATGTTGTGTTATGAAATAAATGCTATGATTTGAATAAAAAAAAGTGTAATAAGCCAGGCATACAAACTGTTTTATAAATAACATGAGTAAAGTATTTGAAACAAACTACCTCATTGGTTGAGTACAAACGCAACTATCTAAGTGACTAGCAAGGGGAGTCCTGTTTGATTGGGTTACATAGTGATTTGGGATTTGTCTTTTCAACAATTTAAGCTTTACCAGACTATGAAGCTTAACTCATTCAACAATAAAGATTTGACTGTTGTTATTTATCTTAGCAGTCAGTACTGTGTTAAAACCAAAGAAACACAGATTTAATTCAATTCTATAATAAATATCAATATTAGGTACCTGTAGTAAAGTTCTTAAGTTCATCTATATCTTTGACCATGGTCCAGTCATATTTGACTGATCTTGCTGACTGAGTGGCATGTGGTACAGATGGGAAGAATGACCAGCCTTCTTCAATTGAAGTTTTCTTTACTACAGCCGCGGCACCCAGGATCACGGCGGCAGGCACAGCGATGACACCAGCTCTCATCCATGCAGTGAAAATACTGCCTGAGACTACTCCACCCAAGAAATAGTTCAATTTATCGTTCTTTCCTCTTATGTTCTGAACTGTGTTCGCAGTCACGGCGAATCCAGCAGCCATTCCTACCATTGGGCCTAAAAACCAAGCAAACCTGCCTGCCGTAGCCGCAAAACCCTTGGGATGAGAATACATCAGGACATCCATTGATGCCAAAGCCGTGCCAGCCAGTGCTGCATATTTAGATATAGCAAATGTCTTCATAAAGATATCCTGCCCCTCGGGCGTGTCGTAGTATTCGTATTTTAGTAGCTGGCTCATCTTTACAACTTTTAATGCTTAACGCAAAGTAGTTACACAACACAGTGTGTGAAGTGTCAAAGTCAAATAAAGAATTAAAGACTATAGTAGAGTAGAGACTAGGGATGTACCTAATGCGACAGACTTTTAAATTGCTAGGGTTTGTTCGTTTTACGAATGATTTTAGTCGGTTTAAGAATTTCAAACGAAAGTATTGTTCATTATTGTATAAAAGATAAACAAAACATAACAACATATCAATATATTTAAATACTTGAAATCATTGTCATTGGTCTGAACTGAACAAGGTCTGAATTAAACTTTATTGTTAATTTTGTTCGTATATTAACCTATATTGAATGAATAAATAGGTACGTTTTGATTTTATCTCAGTTAAAAATAAATTATATTTTTGTTTGTAAAATGCAAATGAACGCATCCAATGCGATAACTCTTGCATATCCGACATAGAGATGAGATATACCTGCCATTCTCCATACCCGGCCTTTAAGGTATGGGTATCACTAAATACCTGGTACAAATACCGGGTATCAAAATACTTCTAAGTATTTGAGTGTGGTAGGATTTCGATAAGTAAACGTATGCGATAAGTATGGTATGCCTCCAATATAATGTAGGTACGATGTTTCAAGTACCCATTCGTAATTATGCATTATGAGATATGAAATCTTTCCTTCTACTTTACCAGGCTTAGGACTGTCGGCTAAGAGTATGACGATGGTTATTAATGAATTCTAGTTATTTCTATATAAATTAATGCAAAATAACATTAATTATATTTAAACTGACTAACTAGCCGGCGTAGTTAAAAGACTTAGTAAGTAGCACTAAACGTAAACATTCAAACACGTAATAATATTCCTTAACATAAACAAACTAAGGAACTCTTTCACGTCGTGACAAAAAATGTATGTTCCTTATGCACGTAAAAATAAGTACCCATTTTGTCTAACAAAATTAAATCAACCGAATGTTCATAAAGCACGAATGACGTTTCGAGTCCCTTCGTAAGCTGTCGGGTAGCTTCGGGTTGCTTCGGCGTACCGAACTACCGATAAAACTGGACGCTACCTTGTGGTAGCGGTTCGTATCGTACTATGCGTCTGACGTCATACCTTCAAGGTATTTACCCAGTATTTCGGTCCGTACCCGGTCTATGTACTGGGAAGCACATACTTGGTATTTATACCTCTACCAGTATATACGTCTCATCACTACCGACAATCCGTCATTAGTGTCAAAAGTATCAAAAATGGCGGCGGACGGTGACGAAGTGATTAGTGATCAAGAAAAAGTTAGAATCGTTTCAGATTTCATATTACATTCGCCCCCCGGAGAATTTAATGAAGTGTTCAACGATGTAAGGGTCCTATTAAATAATGATACCCTTCTGAAAGAAGGCGCAAGCGGAGCGTTCGCGCAATACAATAAGGATCAACTAACGCCCGTGCGCCTTGAAGGTTCGGAACTCCACACGCTCATCACTGACCACAATGAGCTCGGCGGTGGAAGATTCTTCGACCCCCGTTCTAAACGTTCCTTCAAGTTTGACCACTTACGTAAAGAAGCCTCGGAGTATGAACCCTACGAGCCAGACCGAGTGGCGGAACCCTGGCGGGCGGCCCTTGACGAGGAGCTGACGGCGTACGTGGCCGCGCATTTCAAACACGGCGCGAGCTTAGTGGTAGGACGTACATTGGACGCAGGTGCTATACAACTGGTGGCCTGCATTGAAGATCACCAGTTCCAGCCGAAGAACTACTGGAACGGACGATGGCGTTCTGTGTGGTCATTGACGGTGGGTGCAGGTGCGGCAGAATTACGTGGTATGCTTCGTGTTCAAGTGCATTATTACGAGGATGGGAACGTTCAGTTGGTGAGCTCCAAGGAGGTGCGTGCGCCAGTGACGGTGACCGGTGAGGCGGCCACGGCTAAAGAGTTCGTGCGGCTTGTCTGTGACGCGGAGAACGCGTATCAGACTGCCATCTCAGATAACTACAAGACCATGAGTGATACCACGTTCAAGGCGTTGCGGCGACAGCTGCCGGTGATGCGCACCAAGGTGGACTGGGCGCGGCTCGTCTCTTACACGATCGGTAAGGAGCTCAAGAGCCAATGATGTCCCGCCGCTGCGCTCTGAGCCGCAGCGGCCGCTCCACGCCTGTACATATTCGCGTAAGAGTAAATCTTGTTCAAATGTTTACGGGCGCCGGGGTGACGTCGCGGCGGGCCCCGGCGCGTATTTATCTATGAATATATAGAGAAATCGCTATCTTAACTGTTAAATTTTATTGCATTTTGTTACACTCAGTACGGAATGATTATTGAATAGCCAAGTGTCTGAATGCGGCTTACTTTGGGACAGTACTCTCATCTGTCATGAGAGTTTGATTCAACGAGTTTGTGTCCATTTTGTTGGTAGCAAGAGATTATATGGAGTAACATTGTACTTAGGTGTGGGCAAAGTTTACACCCAACTAGATCTGTAGAACTGGACTGGACGTCAAACTTGATCCACTAATTTATTTGCTCCTCGGGGATGATTAGTTGTTGTGTAAGCAATATGATGACTGTTCAATCATTGTTTTAGCTTTTTGTGATGATTTAAAAGACGCATGTCAATTACAATAAGATTAAAATATTAAATTACCATAATGCCTAGTTATGGATGTTAATACTAAACTCATGCATGTATTTTGAAACTTGTAATCCATCCACTTCCGTATTTGTTGTATAAAACAGTATTATTTCTTTGATATTGCTTGCATAACAGAGTATTATATGACTAAATTGTTCAGGAAAGGTACATAGAAGGTCTCCAATGGTGCATTTAATTGTAGTTAATTTAACAAATTGTCCACGTAGCTTTAAAGCAGCGTCTATGAGCATAGAGCACAAGATATTCAATATTTTTCAATTTACAATAAATAAAATTGGAGTGTTGCTCAAATGGTAACTAATGCAGTGAAGATAAAAAGAAGATTAGAGAATTATTGTCCATATTATGGCTTTGAGAGTGCGAATGATGCGTAACTTTTTTTTTATATAATGTGTAATAATTGTAACGCCAATAAGGATTATTTTGTAATTATTATAATTATTATTTTAATAAAGAACGTACATTAAAATCCAAGATAATGTATGATTGGATTCATTTCAATAAAAATATATATTAAAATGTTGCTAACATCTGTTTCCTTTTTATTTACGTCGCCATCTTGAAATGTGTAAAGTACCGTTAGGTAAACAGGTAAAGATGTATATTTGGTGATATCACAAGATATCCGCGAGTGATAAACTCGTGACTCACTGGTTTATTGGGATCGCCGGTGACGGTGTGGCGGCCCGCCAATATTGCATGCATTCACTAATTTTACACACGCTCGCATACGTTCTCTGTTGACCCTGTTTTGATTTGAACGATGTCGTAATTGTACGATGAAGTAGCGAGTATCGCAAGTAACGTTGACACAATGAATGACTATTATTGACTATTATTACCATAGCATAACAATTAGTCATCTAACTAGTGCTGATGTCGTTATTTACTACAATTTCGACTTTTAGAAGTCGACAGTTACCACAAAGTTATAGCATAATACTAAAATACTTAGTAAATATATGCTTTATAACCTATATGTATTATTTATGTACGTGATTATTCAATCGCTTTCATATTTTTGGCTAAAGTCCAGTCCAACTGAAAGCTAGTCGAAATAACTCCGTCATAATGCCCCTTCAGACTTCAATTTGCTTGTACCCCGAAACTCTTATCGTTATTTGGTTTTGTCGGGTTGTGAAGAGCAGGAAATAACTCTGAATATAGGACGCGGTTTATCTGCGAATTGTTTTGTTTGTCCCGCAGTTTTGTTTTTAACTAAATTGTAAAAGGGTCTAAATCAGTTGGCAGTTATTTTAAGTTCGTTACTCTAGTTTACACCTATACTTACTATAGTCTTTGCTCTAGTACCTAGGTAGGTACCTACTATAACTATTGACAAGTTTTATCAAGACTTTATCTGATAGTTTTTAAGTTTTGCTCGCATTACTAGTGGATTCGCTCACGTATTTTCTCGCCTCATTGACTAAAATTATCGCGTCAGCTGTTCTTGGAACTTTAGACTAGACAACTTCAAATTAGCTTATTGCAGTCAGAATTCCATCCTAATACTACATTCCGTCGCGGAGAACCTAACGGGTAACCGGGGCTCCAGCTCGACGTGCAGGAGAAGGAACGGGGTGGTTTTTAGTCAGTAAGAGTCTGACACTCCCTCCCGGCTCACCCAGGCGGGAGCAGTCATTCGATGATTTTCACCAATAAAAAAAAATACATTAAAAACTTAGTTGCACGCACGTAAAGGAATTTGTATTTTAATGCGTAAACAACAAATTGCCATGTCGTTTAACGGTACAGCGAACGTATAATCGAAACAAATAGCTTGGTTCGCACACGCACCGTGCTTTTATTATGATGGGAATCAAATCTGGAATGCAGAGATGATGGGGAATTGTGCTCGTTAATTCTCGCCTTGTCTCGCCTTTAATATAGGCACTGAATCTTAACTAGATGCGGGGTAAGACTTAGATGTACTTTCGATCTTCTCGAGGGATGCACGGATGGCACGTCTGGTCTGAATACTGACTAGTCATAACATTTGTATTGATAGCAGAGACCGGCTAAGTGTACGACGGAAGTCGCAAGAATTGAAGTAACACTAGCTCTATTCTGTTGTCGATTGAGATCATGAACTAAAGGATAAAACATTCTATATCATATTGATCATTCTTTAGAATCTAATGTGAATACATTTTAGTATTAAGCAACTTCCTTGTTAGTTGAGTTGTCGCAAGACAGCCCGATTGCCGAGGAAGGCCTGTAGTTTAAATCCTGGGATTTTCAATTTTTGAAATTCCTCATACTTACTCAGTAGTGACAACTCGCCCCTATTACCTATAATAGGTATACTTAAGTCTAATAATGTGGGTGGTAGGTGTCAAACAACATGCACCTTCACAAAAAGTGTGGTGTTGTGTTTAAAATTGCGTTCTGTAAGAATTTTGTATCAAAAGCGACATCCA